ACTACTCATAAACAGCACTGACAACTAAAAGCATTAAATAAAATAAGCTAGTCATGTCAAACGTCATATTGCAATTTAAACTAAAACAAGTGTAGAGACTCAATGTTGATGGATTAAGGTTTTTACAGCATCCATCGAAAATACTAGTGTCATATAACAAATAGCTTGTAATCCAATTTATGAAATTCGCCGATTAAATTCCCGATGGCATGCAATTACATTGCAAGTCAGGGTAGGCAAATACTGTTGTACTCAGATTGATTTTATTGTTTTTATAGGCTGGGTAAAGAAATAAGATGTTTCTTTCCAGAAACTCCAAAAATATATTCCTGTGAATTCAGTCATGGTTGATGACGGAAACCATTTGAACAAAATAAATTCCAATAGAGTCAACAAGTTGTCAAAACTGTCATGACTTCAAGAAAAAGTTCCGTAGGTGTTTTCGTTGTCATACAACGTGAGTAGCTTTAGGAATATATGTGGCATTTGTAATAACTTTTTAATATACATGGCTGGCAAAAATTGGCAATTGACAGGTAAGAGGCTTGAGGTTTCAATTAACTTCTAATTTCCCAACACACTGTCAACATGTAATCTAAAAAAAACAAGTTGAATATAGATGATTTCCAAACTAGCAAAGCAAGTAATGTCAGGAAGAATTGCAATTACCTTCCCTATAAATACAGCATATTCCACATTTGATCAAAAGTTACTGCGACATTCACAGGATATTGTGTCAAAGCAAGGCATTAGCAGATAAAATGTCACCACCTGCTATTTGTTAAAGACACTGACACGACCCCTGAACACCAACACAAAAAATGTTGAAACTATAACAGTATAAATCACCATTTCTGGAGGTGACAAAATAAAATTGTCGTTTTGTAACCAGTTTAAAAATATCATATTTACTTAACTATCGAATACTGATTTTAAACCATACGGTCATAGGCGTACCAATAAAAATAAAACCATGGGAAAGAAAAAAAGAGCTTTAAAATGCTTTTTATTTGAATCTTCTAGCTCAATATTATAATAAATCTTATTTTTGGCTTGTTGATGCCACAATCGCACCCCCTGATTGAAAACCGAATTTTTTTGGCGATCTCATCCCCCTGAGAGCTGGCTAGACCCCTGTACAGTTATCAAAATATCCAGTTGACAAGTCTATTTGGCAAAAAATCGATAGCTAAATCTTCAACAAAGAAAAAAATGGAAATAGCTATGTGCTTTCTAGAACACTATTTTTATGTCTTAAGCAGTCATAAAATTCAAAATGCTGAACAATAACTCATTCAGAGGAACATCTGAAGCATCAACAATCCTGACGACCACAGAAATACCAAATCACCATTAATCAGTTCATGACAACACTGTACCACAAAGCTTCGCCAAATAAAATCAGCTTAAAAGTGGTGTTTTAAAGTCAATGGCATCACAATAATCAACAAGAACAAATGATGATGGGCAGCTAATTTATCAGAAGATCCAAGATCAAAGCTTGTAAAGCATGTATTGAAATGAATATAGTTTTCTTTGATGTAGTATATGATGCAAAGTTGAAGAGGCGAGAGTGCTGGGTGTCTTGGAATTAATCGTTCCTAAATGAATGACGCTAACTGATGGGTGGAGTTACAACTGTCATTAAACATGATGGTTATTCTGTCATTATTATCTGTCCTTAATATCTATACATACAGGTATTGTATTCTACTCTCACTGGATATTAACATTGGCACAGGTGATATAATAATACCATGACATCTCAAGGCCTGTAGCCAGGGTCCCTGGCCAAAAAAATCTTTCAAAATCATACAGTTTTTCATCAATCTGAGCACTTTTCAAGTGATTTAGGCCATTTTTGATCCTAAGGTGTCACAAATGAATCCCCCTGGATTTTTTTAGAAAGTGAACCCCCTTGGATAATCCTGGCTATGGGCCTGATCTAATGGCTGAAAAGAACAGAGATATCATCATACATCAATGACTGAATCAAGTATACAATATTTTGCATCTTCGACATCTTGGAACATGCTCACAACTAACTACCAAGTTGTCTACCTTTGGAGCCGCCACAACTTACTAAGATCGCAAGTCATTTTTCATACAGAAGATAATACTTGTCTAAAGAATCGTAAGTTAGGATCATACTAAAAATGGGCCCTAAGCTCACCATATTCCAAACTGCAACAATATTGTAAGGTGACACGTTTCATGTTAATAACTGATGTGCGAAACTTATTAGCTTTTAACCAATATTTTAAGAGATAGAATTTCGCATGATGAGTGTACAAAGTTAATTAAATTTTTAAGTGACTTATTCAAGAGACATGTATCCATGTAAGTTAGTTAGCTACTTCTTTTTGCTATTACTTATCATGTTAAATACGGATTATATCATTAACATTGATGTGTAAGTTGAAAAGCATTAGTCATGAACTGACACTACTGCACTAGAAAACTCACAGGATTAATATTACAGGGGTGCAAGGTTTCAAGCATCTTTTTAAAATAATTCCATCATAGCTAATCCTTGCTTTTCTATATTATTTTATACACTAGGGTGAGATAAATACAAAGAAAATATCACATATAACCTTTCAAAGAGAGCAACATATAAAAACTATAATCAGAAAGAGTAATGTTTGGCAAGTCATGAGAGCAGCTTATGATTGGCCAATCCCAGAGAGCAAGAAATGATGATTGGTCAATCAAAGAATACAAGAAATTGTGATTGGCTTGTCACAGGGAGCCAAAATATTGATCAGCAAATCACAAAAAGCAAAAAATATGAATGACACATCAACGATTTTTAAACTATCACAATTGGTGAAATAATGATTTTTATATTGCATTTGTTATACCCGATGCCAGCATCTTAGGAGTTCTTATTCTATACTAATGTATATTATAAATTCAGCATTTTAAATGGAGGTTATGTACATGTATAATTTCAATATTATCCTTTGAAACGTATCATAAAATTGGCAAATAAAATATGTTATACATAATAATATTCAAGTAAAGAAAAAGATTGGAGCCCAATTTGTAAGTTGATATCACTTGTAGCTTTTCAAATGTCAATAGGCTATTTACACATGTTTAATTTCATTAAATATATGTATTAATCTACTCTTACTTCAAGACCCTGGAACCCCCTCTATCTACTTTTTTGTGTTGTGTTGGAGAAGTAGATAAGGGGGGGGGGTCCACAGTCTTGAAGCAAGACAAGTATTAATCACTAATAAGTAATTTTATATTCAAAAAGTAAAAGTCATCCATATCACAGGGCACTAAAGGGTAACAATGCTGCTAGAAGCTAGTAACCCTAGTAACCAGTACAGTAAAACCTGTATATATGAACACATTTCTAATCTGAACATATCTCAATATGAACACTTTTCTTGGTCCCAATTTTGTTACCTCCCATTGATTCACATATTAAGAAACTCTGAAATGTGAACACCTGCTTATTTAAACATTTTGACCAATCAAAGTGGTGTTCAGATAAGACAGGTTTTACTGTAATGTGGTATCAATGTTACACAATTTGCCTTTATATATATATTAAACACTATTGGCAAAACTATGCAGGCTTGAGAACATCCATTTCATGTATATCACATTACAAAAATTATGCCTTTCTACATATAACAAATGAAGATTGATAAACTACAGAAAACTAGAATTAATTTTTAATACTCGGGTGTTCTAGAATCTAAAGTTGTCCATAATTTAAGAGTAAACATTAAATGTTTAAGTATGATTCCTATTAAAATTTACAGAAAGTGCATCAGATACACTTTTAATTATTACTGTACAAATGCAAATCTCTAACAATTACATGTCCATTTAATTTAAAGTTACCCCATCAGGGTTTTAAACCCTCTAAAAGTTAATATCTGTGCAGTTAGCCAACTGGTGCAGCTGCCCAGCAATCTGGACAAACAAAGCCAGAGCCAGTACATGTGACCCATAAAAGGGATCTATTCAGCCAGATTTCAGCTATATCAAGCCTTATGCTTAATAACAACTGAATGCACTTGTATTTTTCATAAAAATATTTAATATTTGATCTGATAGTATAATAATACTACAACAGATTGCTATGTACAATTTAAGATAATTATAGTTATTACTTAGCGTATACTATTATATCATGACATACTCATAGCTTGTTACAGCATAAAATAATAACATGTGATGATGCCCCTTGATGTCACCCCTTGATGACACCACTTGATGACGCATTCATACAGAAGTCACCCAAAGGGCTGGGTCAATGTACCAACTAATTTCATGAATCTTGAACCCCCTTTGTTGGTTAAGCTAAGTGACCATTAGTATTAGACCACATCAATGTCTTTCCCAAAACATCTATTTTTACCACCATCAATACAGTTCTATGAAAAATAAACTTGATATTTGACCCAACCCATTATATATAACAGAACCTGAATAAAATCCTGCAAATATGTACGAATCAAGAAGATTTGCAAATGTACGAGATAACAAATAAAATAAATTCAGATCATTGCACATAACATATGGTATCCTAACCATACAAAACATATTTCAACAAACATGTAACTTAGTAACAAGGCTTAAACCAACATTATATAATATATAAAAGGGACTTTATGACAACTTCATCAATAATATACAGTGATCTCCCCAGGATTTTTTCTCAAGTGGGTGCAAAATTCTCATTTTTACAATTCACACTGAAATTGGTCAAATATGCCCAATTTTTCATGATTTTTCTCATTTTCAAGTGGGTGCAAATGAATTTTCAGGTGGGTGCTGCGCCCACTTGCTTCAATGCTGGGGAGATCACTGATATATCTTATTACTGTGTGACATCAGGTGTTGTGTAATGTAACAAAGCCATATGTTTGCTAAAATTGTATAACTCGAAGTGTAAGTTGTACTGAAGCTTAAGGGACCGGGTACAGGAGTTCTGGTTACTGTACGTCCAAGAGTGCTCTAGTATACTAGTACCAGTAAGTGTACTCTATTCTCCCTGTACAGCACTCTAAGAGTACTATAGTCCAAGTGTTCAACACTCGAGGTATCGTCCCCCAAACACTTAAAGTGTACGGTACTCTAAGTAAACTGTAAATGTACAATATTCCAAGTGTACTCAAGTGCAGAGAACTGTAGTCAGTGTACAGAACTCCAAAGTGTACATGTACAGCTATTCTTGTGAACTGTACTAAGTGTAGAACACTACAAGTGTACATTACTCTTTAAGTCCACAGCAATCCAAGATCATTTTCAACTAAAACAAGTTACGAAATACTGCACGGAGTTTGTACCGAAGTTTGCTGAAAATTCACTTCCTGTACATATGGCGCACTAAAACATCTCTTGATGTAAGTCGGACTGAATTATCCCGCAAAGTGTGCATTCTTCCGATAGGTGCTGATGAAAATTACTATTTCACTTAATTAATTTCACACTTAGTGTGAAAATAGCATCTAAACAGCTTACTTTCCTCGAAGAATCTGCAATGGTTTAGATTTTACCATCAAACACTTGTGCATGTAGTTCGGGCATTTGACTCAAACTTTCAGGGGCATTCATTTTCATTTCATTTAGCGACTTAGCGTGTCTGTCATTGATGCTTCGTAGAGGGGGGATGGTATCCAAGATCTTGTTCATACGGTCACTATCCTCTGGAATAAACCAATGGAACATATTCATCAGAAACAGATTCAAGCAAGGAATCCACAGGTTAAACGACAATTGTGTTGGATGTTATTTTTACATAAGAAATGTAGACACTGTAAAAAACAATCATACACCAGGGTATTCCCTCCTCTGCAACATACATAACCATTAGTTTGATGTCTTTATACGAACGTGCCATCTTTAATTAAATATAAATATTTCTTTTGTCATCGGCTTTTTTTATATGTCTAGTCTGTCAAATTAACAATGCCATCTATATTACCTGGGTGTAGCCTTGCTATGTGTTGAGTCATTGCCTGTAGGTAGAGACCTTGCAGCTTGTATACAGCCTTCTTGTTCTTCAGTCCATGACGATCTAGACATGACAAGAAAAAACACATCAAACCTATCATGACAAGGTCGAAACCATTATATATTAAAATTAATTTTTTTATTGAGTAACAGAGTTAAACTGGATAAAGCCTATGTCAGCCTGACTTTGATACCATTATATGGTAGAATAATTATTTTTCTATTTATATTGAATAACTGATTTAAACTAGAAAAAAAACTAGAAGTACTGCATCTTCTGGAGAAGCAAATCTCACAGGACAAAATAAATTTTATAAACATGATATAAATAACAGGGAAGTAGTACTGTCTCCTTTTGGGCAAAATCTACACCAATGACATGTCATGCACCAGAAAAAACAAGGCACAAACATGCAACATGTCATCACCTGCCATTTGTTACAGATGCCCGATGCAGAGCACCATCCACAAAAAGGTTGGAGACTAACAATCTGTCACACTTGTGGTGGTGACATATAATATTAACAGCTGACATTTAGATCACGAAAATTAAATAAGTTGCGTTTTACCTGGGCACAGTATAAGAGCAGTGGTTAGTAGTGCAGTCTCAGAATCAGACATCAACAGCGGGTTCACTATCGCAGCATAATTGAAGAATTCATTCAAGAATTTACCCATAGGTAACATCTCAACCATTTTCCTGCAAGAATCAGTAAACAGAAATGAGGGTAGGAATACAACAACATATAGACTAACTTTACATCAGGTCATCTATACAACATGTCATTTTAACAAAAGAGGGCTATCTAACACCTCAAATAACAATCTTATTTATTCCTGAAACTACATTTGATCATATTAAACTGAAAATAATGAATATTTTAAGATAAGTTTTGAATTTGCTTATCAAACTTAAAACAATTAGCAAATGAATATTTTAAGATAAGTTTTGAATTTGCTTATTAAACTTAAAATAATTAGCAAATGAATATTTTAAGATAAGTTTTGAATTTGCTTACTAAACTTAAAGTAAAAAGCAAATGAATATTCTAAGATAAGTTTTATATTTGCTTATTAAACTTAAAATAATTAGCAAATGAATATTTTAAGGTAAGTTTTGAATTTGCTTATTGAACTTAAAACAATTAGCAAATGAATATTTTAAGATAAGTTTTGAATCTACACTTTAAAACAAACAAGAAAAGAAATTCTTGCAATTACCTTGGTATTTTTATTTCAACATTTGGGTCAAACATGGAGTCTGTATCCTTGTCCACTAGAGGGACAAAACGAGCCAGGCAAACCTCAAAAGACCCCTGTTTGATAAGCCGAATCTGGTCTTCTTGGATCAACTCTTGGAACCCTGCAAGTAGAGCACAATGTTATGATTTACCGAATCCTATAAGAGACATGGATTCATAAAATTTTCAATTCAGAATACTCTACTAAAAACACTGAATATAACATTACAAGTTCCCTGGGTATTTGGCTCAAAAAGGAGTATGTACTAGTTATATGATCATTTGCTTCACCAGAATTTGTAGGGAACATCTAATACCATTTTACCAAGTACCCGGGGACCATACTTATGATGGGGGTAGTTATCACAGGGACCATACTTATGACGGGGGTGTACTTAGCTGGTAATCTTTTGCAGAACTTAACAACTCTAGTTATCACAGGGACCATACTTATGGAGGGGGGGGGAGTGTATTTAGCTGGTAATCTTTTGCAGAACTTTACAACTCTAGTTATCACAGGGACCATACTTATGGAGGCTGCGGTGTACTTACCTGGTAATCTTTTGCAGAACTTTACAACTCTAGTTATTACAGGGACCATACTTATGGAGGGGGGTGTACTCACCTGGTAATCTTTTGCAGAACTTTACAACTCTAGTTATTACAGGGACCATGTTGGTCATGAACTTCTCATCCCAAACATGGTTGGGTGGCAAGTGAGTGGCATCAGGCTAAAATACAAACAAATCATTAATGACAATTGAATAATAGGTGGCAAGAAGGTTGTATAGTAAAACCTCTAAAAGTGGAACACCCTTGGTTTGCTGAAAAGTGTTCAACTAAGGAGGTGCTCTACTTCTGCAGGTTTTATTGTAGCTGAAATAGATTAATTCTTATATACCAGGTCGTTCAATAAGTTAGCAGAAAAAAGGTCTCATTTCAAAGATTTTTGATATTTTCTCATGAAATTTTTACATGAGAAGTAAAAAATATTTTCTTATTGATTCATGAAATATCAGCATTAGATGGCTGTAGTGTTTTGGATGGGCTAGATTGTATTGTACTAGAGTATAAAATTGTAAATTGTAAATTACAATTTGGTTGGGCTAGATTGTATTGTACTAGAGTATAAAATTGTAAATTGTAAATTACAATTTGGTTGGGCTAGATAGTATTGTACTAGGGAATAAAATTGTAGATTTGTAAATTACTGTTTTCTATCTCGAAAATTGTACACAAAAGGAAACTATGTTATGAGATTGAAGTTGAAGCTCTAAGTGATAAAATGAAGATATCTTGAACATGTGAACTCTTCCTTATGATAAATAACAGGCTTTGTTTGGCCTGTCTTGGTCTGGTTTATTTTGTTACATAAAAAAGCACTACATGTACATTGAACAACATTTTGAGAAGCCAATATATTTAATAACAATTCATTTTGAGAATTCATAAAATAGATTGATTTTATGACTATTGTTATTTTAACACAAAAATCAATAGATCATATGGCAAACTATAATTATTTTTTAACAAGTTCATGATGTCCCAGACAGTACTTGTTGTTACTATGGATTGTAATGTTATTGTATGTCGAGTTACTATTGGCTTTAAATAATAACTATCCTTTTATAGGACAAAATATTGAGTTGCATGTCACGGTAATTGTGTCATCGAGTTATATATTAACACTAAGTACACTCTTCCCTTATGTGTTGTCAAATATTTTTTCTTACATTTTAAAATATGGATTTATGTTTCAGCATTCTCCCATTATCTTTCTCAACTGAGAGACTTGAATTGAGCATATATTTTCAAACTAAGGAAAACATGAGTTAGGTTTAAATAAAACCACAAAATTCAAGTTTTTTTTAAATTGCAGTGTTCAGGTTATGTGTCACATGATATAATCACTACAACCTGATTGGTCAACATTGGACATTTCATAAATTCAAACTTAGGACTGGCCTGCAAGAAAGATATTGTTTCAGTTTCCTTATTCCTTTCTATTCTACTAAATTCAACCTTTAGATTACGTCAAAATACATATTGTGTTTAAGGCTGTTTTTAGATGGAATGATAAGCAATTCGCAACAAAACATCAATAACACTGGAAACTGTTGAGAATATAGACTCCAAACTGTCATATACATTATGGCATTATGAAATTGAAATATAATAACTATTTAAATATAAAACATAAAGTTATTAATCATAGATATAATGTTACTAAGTGCTTGTTTGAATACACCTGAAGTTAAAGTGTAAATTACATGTATTTTTAACACTGGATTTATCAGTATGAAGTAACACTAAATTTGGTACTCTAGAAGTATCATTTCAACTGAAAATTTGAAACATCATGAAACTTATAATTGGCTATTTCATCAAAAATAAATGCAGAATTAAAAATCAATGAAAACTTATGATTCAATGAAACAGGTCCAATGAAACAATGAAATGTAACTCACCATATGAAACTTATTTGCTTCATATTTTTCGAAGGCCACCTCAAGTTTAGGTTTAGTGAAAGCACATGTATCCATATGTGCCGAAAGCACTGTTTGCAAAACACTGTCAATCAGCATTTGCCGCTCTTTACTAATGTCTCTAAGTTTCAATTCATCTAGTTGTTTAGTGATTGAGCCCAGACCAAATTGTGGAGGAAGCTCAGATACCATACATGGGAATTTAGAGGCACATATTCCTTCATCACTCAATTGTTCTTGTTTTATAGGCCGGTGAACTGGCTGGGTTGTACCATAGGGAGCCCCTGATGGGATACTTGAGGCTCCCATAGAGGGATTACCCATTGAGCTCTGGGTAGCTGATAGAGTCTGTGTGTGGCTTATGGTGGATGGCGCCATACCATTTGTGGCCCCACCATATAGCATACTACTAGGGCTAGGGGTATGTGCTTGGGGGGTGGTATGATAACTACTCCCTGGGGAGAGGCTGCTCATATTTCCCATACTATTCATGTTCATACATGCTGAGTGCGGGGATGCCTCAGATTTGATTACTATATCATTAGGGGGGAGATGGCTCATCGTAGTGGAGGCCCCTACGGGGGAGCGACTGGTCGTACTAGAAGGTGTATCAACCGGACTGTAATTATTAACTACAAGATTTGGGTCACTTTGGTTACCCTGATGCTCCGGTATGTCAAACATACTCATTTGGGCAAATTCCTTATCTGAGAAGAAAAACTCTGGTAGCAGTTCTGGTCTCTTTCCATTATTCCCGTTAGCTGCTAACATCCTTTGGACCTCTGCCATAGTGAGACGGCCCAGTCGTAAGGCTGTGATGGGCGGGTAGGGGGCAATAGTTGGACTTATAGGGTGTTGCCGGGGTGCTTGATGATCATTCCCAACTTCTTTTAATCTTTTTGGACGCCTTCCGAGTCTTGAAGCTAAAAATAATAATATTAAAAATTTTGTACAATAGTTGAGAAACATACATTTTCACTCATCCGAAACATGTTAAAAATGTATTTTCTTATTAACCATGAATTGAGTGCCTAGTAACAATTCAATTCCAAAGCTGAACTAGATATATTCCAACATTCTTTAACTTTATCACATGCAATTACTTATGAATTATTAATAGGAATTTTATTGATCCTACATGTACATGTATCTAGTTAATAAAATACCGCACATTTCATTTTGAGATAAACAAATGTCATTTATGTACAATAGGAATTTATTTTTCCATATATTATTGGATAATGATCTTTTGATTTCTTATTTTTTAGGTTTTACTGACGCAATAAAACAGTGAAATGGGCTCTAGCCTTTTTCTGTATTTCATTATCTTAGAATATTTTGTCTTGTTTCAGATTGTGATAGAGAAGCGTGATAGAGGACATCAAAAGATCATTTAGGTCTAAATAAGGGACAAAAATACTTTCTTGAAATGTATTTATCAGACTGATTGCAACAATAAATCATGTTGACTCCTGTGTTTGATGTATAATTAATCTCTAAGTTCAGTATCAAGGTCTACATAAGCCTTCGGCTCATGACTTTCACGATAGAAGAAAGCTTGATTTTTATTAAATTTACCAACAAAAACTTATCATAAAATTCAAATAAATATCAAAATTACAACCTGTGGCGCAGAAAAAAATGGGAATGCCCAAAATCAAAGTTTTAAAGAAAAAGCTTCCCCTTGCCATTTAGCAAAATAGCCTCACAATGTCTTTGGCAATAACTGGGTAGAGCAAGTACAGTATAACCTGTATAAAGTGAACATCTATAGAGCCACAATAAGTGTTCACTGTCGGTAAGTTTTCACTACAGAGAAGGGTTTTATACAGGAGTCAATATAGGTGTGTCTCGAAGTGTTATTTGTTATAGACGCCAACCGCTGATCACCAACTGCCAATCGCCAACCGCCATCACAAAAACCACAACAATATGTCATCACTTTTTGGTGGTGACATAATAAACTGTATTACATACCTAGTGAAGCATTTGTATGGAAGTCAATGGGAAAGTTAGCGAGCTATATCCACCGATATTGCCCGATTACCCCGATATAGCCCGCTTACCTCGTTTTGATATTAGATTTCTTTAATAACCATGATAATATCATGACGTCACGTCATTGATACAAAGTAACCATGGGAACAAAGGCATGTAATACATCAGTTATGTCACTATGACGTGAAATATGCCTTCGTTCTTGCCCAAATATAGAGCCTCCCAAGGTCGGCCTATATTGGGAGAACTCAGGCATATTTCACGTCATAGTGACATAACCTCTAAATATTGCTCCAACGATGTTACAGTTATTGCCGGGATGGACAAACATTCGGACAGAGAGATTTATGGACAGTGCCTTCCTCCATATCCCCATAACTTCCTTTGATGTGATAATATTTAAGTACTTGTATACAAGTATCCATATTTGGAATAGTTTATAAATACTGTAGATCATTTGACTTCAGAATGGAACAATATTCAGTATGATTTGAGTAATGAAGAGAATGTGAGAATTTTTCAATATTTTGTGGTTATTTTATTCATTTGTAAGTACGTTTGTTTCAAGTTGGGAACAGGTTACTTTTCAGAATTTGCTCATTGTTCCCAGTAGGCAAGTACTCCATATATACAGAGTCTTTTAAATGTAAGTCAATAAAAAAACTGGTTCATTTGAAAACTGTTCACTGAAAAGAGGTGGTGTTCCTTACAGAGGTGTTTTGTAAGACAGGATTTACTATACTACTATTTGAAATTCATTCATTAAAATATGTCTAAATTCAATGTGATAGATCTATGGCAATCAAGTCAGCATCTCTGGCAAACAATGAGATATTAATGACAATCAACACAGGAGCAAACAACTAAAAACTTATATCAATCAATCTTTCCTGGTCTTTTTGAAATGAGACCAATACACATATAATGCAATGCCTTATCAAATACATTTTCTGGGCCAGACCCAGAACTATCATCATTCATCATCTGAACTTGAAATTGTAGTGACAAAAAAACAATATAATTATATAGAAACCACACACAGAAGTTAAGTAAATAAGTACAGAATTGTGAAATCAATGTCCTTGACATCAAGTGATGTGGTATAAGGAGTTTACTGAACTGAGCGTACTCCAATGTATTTTTATGTAATGTAATCTTTGGCTGATTTTCAAAAACCAAATGATATATTCAATAACTACACATATAACAATTTAATATTTTTTTCATATTATTTGAACAGCTTAGACATTCCTAGACTTCCACCGACACCAACATCAGTTCTGACCTCGCAAACTATGTTCCTTGCACTCGAACCACGGTCTTTACATCGCAAACGTGAAATCTTAAGTCGCGCACCACCATTTCCTCGCCCCTATACATATTTCTATATATATTCTGATCTTTAATGATTTAACAGACTTTCAGTTATGCCTAAATATGTTTCTCACACGTTCAAGGTATAGCCTTGTAACAATTCAAATCTTGAAGAACCAAGATTAATTCATGGATGGATTACCAAAATTTCAGAAATTATTCCGCATGTGCTAATCCCTACCTTCACGAGACATTCCAACAGAAAAACATTTTTTTAGTCGGCAGTACTGGCAACTATTACGACTGAACGGAGTAATCTCACATTTCTCGTCATTAGAGCACCTGTGGGTCATCCCCTGGGTAATACAGCGACGGAAGAAACCCTAGAAAACAGGAAGGAAATCATTTAATATGAGGATTATCTACCATTACAATACAGCTGCAGCACATCCCATCTTCCTGTTACATTATGAGAAAATGATATTTATGTGATAAGGAAGCGAGATTTATGTAATATGGAAGCAATTCCATGATAAAGGGTAATATTAATGAGATAATGTGACTTGGTAAAATAAATTTATAAAGCAACATGACCTTTACTTGTCATACATACCCAGTGTGTCACAGCCGATAAGATTTAAGAGCTCCATTTATACAGGTATTTTTTACCAGCAGCGGATGATTTAAAATCAGGGAATTGTACTTATGGTCCTAAATTACCGGGGAATATGGCGGCTCCTCAATTTGGCGGACTTTAACAATATGGATCCGCTAAATTAAAACAGCTGCCAGATTAAGTAGAAGTACAGTATACACTATATACTTACCTTACAACCTTCACACGAGTCAACTCCATAATGGAACCCTGAGGCCTCATCTCCACAGACACGACATTGGGGGCCCTTTGTCTTCCCCGATGACGACATCGCTAGTATACAGCTATCCATTTGACTAAAACACACATAAAGAAATCTTTTTTAAAATCCTTGCTTGAAAATTTATTTTCAAATTGAGTGATAGAAAATATTGATAAAATAATGTGAGTAGAGTTGCAAAATGTCACCACCTGACATTTGTTACAGATGCCAAGTGCCAGAGACCATAACAATATGTCAACAATTTTTGGTGGTAACATAAAAATCAGAATGCCCATGTAAATAATAACAATCCTTGAAAAAATCTCTGAGTGATGAAATTGGTATTACTTAATATACATTGTACTATTCTTTGACAAACTGACCAGTCTTTTTTCATCAAATACTGTATTTATACTGGAAAGGGACATTATATGTATTTCAAATTTGGTGGTCAAAACTAAATTACAATATTATCATTTTATATACATAAGCTGAAAATCAGATAATGATGACATGTTTCTTAAACATTTTCTTTTACGTTAAATGATATTGAAAAATATCTTATTTTTGACTTATCAACTTTAAAATTGCTATTATTCTAATGTCATAATTTTTGACATCGTTAACTTCATATTAATAATATTTTTATGTAACATGATTTATTATTAATTTATTTATTAATTTAAATGAGTAAATTCACTGATTGAATTAATACATATTGCATAACATGTATAAAACAATGCACTAGTAGCACTTGCTAGGTGAAACAATAGTAAATATATTATATAATATCATAATTCACTTATGGAAATTGTTTAAGAAAACCACTTTAAAGTTAAACTTACGCATAATAAACACTTCTGCAATGTGCATAACACCATGCACATAACACGTTCATATCAAAAAATCCTTATATCCTTTTACTTTCCAAAGTACTATAGTATATCCTAATTTGTCACTTTTATGTCAATATAATCTACCCAGTTCAAAAACTTGCCTTCTTCTCAGGATTATCATCTAATATATGTTCACCTCATTTCACACTAAGGTCTGGATACTAAGAATAAATACTCTGTGTATTCATCCTATATATTGCTCTCATGTCTCATTATTAATAAAAACAATACGCTATGACATGATGTCAAATTGACATTAATCATATATCTAGTTTATTCTATTCAATAGGTTTTTCAGTTTAAAACAGCAGTAAATCAGCAACTCCTGGAGTAGCATACCCCACCGTACAAATCATATTTTGGCAAATCAATCGTAATTTTTAACACTTAATTGATAGAAATAACCAGACATTAAAATTGTCTCTTTATGAGAAAATCTACTTGATTTATTAAAAAATTTCAAAAATTATATCTCAAGTAAAAGTCCTTTGTTTAAGACATCAGCTAATAAAATAAAGACCAAATAAGATGATTGGTATTCAAGTTATCAAAATTATATTTATTCATGAAATGTGGTAGCCATTTTAAATTCAACAGCCATCTTGAAAATGTCTATGCACATGAGGCATCAGCCAATAATATATGTGAACCAAATCAATCAACTGGCATTTAAGTTAAGTACCCAAGGCAGCCAGACAGATGGACATATGAATGGCTTCTCTATATCCCAACTAACTAGAGTCCATTTCACTGCTTCAGTTCGTCAGTAGAACGGCAAAAATAAGAAATTGGGAGACCATTGTACAATAATATATGGAAAAGTATATTCATAATGTACACGAATGACATTTGTATATCTTGGATTGCTTCTAGTTTGGCTTATAAAGTGTGTGGCCTCTTATATTTGGATGTTTCACTGGCATGTTATTTTCAATAAGATTAACATGGCTGAAATTCTTCAAATTACAGGACGGCACAGGCTTATTGCACAAAAAACTAAAAAATCTGAAATATACAAATGTCATTCATGTACATTATGAATATACTTTTCCATATATTATTGCACAATGGTCTCCCAATTTCTTATTTTTGCCGTTCTACTGACGAACTGAAGCAGTGAAATGGACTCTACATTATAGAAATGGTAAAATTGGTAAAAATTAACTATTAGATCATCTAAACAGCTACACAGATATATATTTTCACGAGCGCATTTGGGACATTTAAGGAAAGGGAGAGGAGAGTCAGTGATGCAAAGATGTTTGCCGGCGTCCCGTTATTTCAGATGTCTGACTATTACAGATGTTTTGATGCTGATATAATATTAACAATCTCAAATATGGCTTCCTTGGATTTCCATGAGGTTTAATTGAAAATGCCAAATTTTAGACTCATCTACATCAAAACAGCAGGGTGGGGGGGGGGCGAGGTTCTAAAAGCATACAGGCAGGATATACAGAGTCATAAATCAATACGAAAAATGTAATACAAAAATAGTAAGGTGTCAATTATGGCATTTGTTCATTGCCCTTATATATTATAGATTTCTCAATTATTATCAAATCAATGTGAATAGTAGCGTGGCATTATGATCTTATTCATGAGTTTGGAATAGGAATTCAAGGTTTTTGCATCATTTAGGTTGACCTGACATGTTTAATGGCAAATGAGTATTAATTCCCATAGGTGTCACACTAATCTTATGGTAATATATTGGTTTTGTAAAGTGAAACCTGTCTAACTGAAACACATTATTGGTATTATTGTTTATTTATGAAATTAGGTAGTTGTATAGTTTCAAGCAAGTTGATTGGAAACTTTTTGACTTTTGGACCAAAATGAGCCAGTCATGAAAGTGGCAATTGAAGACTTTCTGAGGACAAATTTAAAAGAAGATTTCTAATAAGCTACGTTTGTTCAGAGACATATGTTCAGAGACTTACAAACATAGAGATAGAGGCATACAAATGGACAGACAAGTTGGTGATAACAAAGCTCACATCATGCGAGCTGGAATATAAGGGTTCAAAATTAGAGGTGTTCAGACAAAGAGAGGTTTCGGACATCCAAGTTTCACTGTTGTTCAAAAAATATTTCATGCAAATCAATAATAAAAATATGTAAGTATGTGTAGTATCAGGATCATAACATCAAGAAGTAAACTTTCAATATTGCGTCTACCTGGGAACACCTGCTTCCCAACCCAAAGACCCATATTCCCCCTTAATAAACAATTACTATATCAAATAGATTCATTCTGCATCAATGCATTTTAGATGCCACCCATGATGGACTAAGCCCCCACCCCATTGGGAGCTTGGCAATGAAGATATGTACTTTCAAGCATTTTCAAGTGCATGAAAATTTGTTTACATCAATTTCATTTTTATTTCAATATCTTTACTTTTCATAAATGTTTAAACAAGGTATTAACATGCAAAATGTCATCACCTGCCATTTGTTACAGACGCTGAACTCCGAACACTGATCATCAACTGCTGCCAAAAAAATGTTGAAGACTTTAACAAAAATATCAAAATTGTCCAAAGCAGGCTTAACGTGCAGTAGACTGATGAACTTCGTTCTCCAAATCAAGACTAGCCTTTTGAACCAAATCTGTCAAATCATATTCAACTTATAGACACATGTAAGTTCTTGAAGAACATCAAATAAATCAGGTTTTAAAATTCTACATGGTGGGATGGTGGGACAAGGGACATACTGACAACTTTTCTAAATTAATAGTGGCAGAAAGGTGTCATATTTGAACTTTGATTGAATAGAGTTCATTGTTAGATTCACTGGTGGATCTGCGTGGGGGGGGAAGGGGGGCCTTGGGTGACCTAAAAAAACTTTTTAATGGGCCTTTTCAGGCCTTGTTAGGCATAATCTTTTATTGGGTCCACTTTTTGGTTTTAGGGGCCCAACACTTTTTTCCCCACGAAAGCGCGGAATTTCAATACTTCAAATATGGCCCCCCCCCTTATTGGTTCCTGGATCAGCCTCTGGTTAGGTAGAATAGTTCAGGATTGCTTTTTTATTTTTCCACATTCTTAGGTAAATGGTATAGAACATGTATAGTAGAACAATTTATGCTTATTTTGAATCTTACAATGATTTTCATTACAAAAGGCAAATCTAAACTATTCAGCAGTAAATCCATGTTATATACAATAATGCCCTCTTTTGGTTAGAACTGATATTATATCAATTAAAGAGTAAGTAAGCTTGGCAATTAGATGTATTTGAATTGCAGTATATATAGGTAATTTACTGGGAGGGATTGAATATGAATTTTATTCTGAGGGACAATATGATATTGTCCGAAGGGTAATATGATACTGACCGAGGGAGCGCAGCGACCGAGTGTCAATATCATATGCCCAAGGTCAATATCATATTTTTCGAGGAATAAAACCCATATTCAATCCCGACAAGAAATAACCTATATATTCCATAATACACCCATCTAAAATGCTACATTTGGATAATTCAAATAACCGGGAAACCGAAAATAGGTTAATATGCTCTAATACGATTTTTTCCCAGGGACAATACGATTTTTTCATGTAATACGATTCAATAAGATTTTTATTCCTTGATATTTCCTTGGGAAAACAATAGTATTATGGAATAAACACTTATATATTAAGACAGTATACCCAATTCTCTTTTTTGGAGGGGGTGGGGTTGCTTTAACATGATCTAGACTGCTCTAACCTTTTATAAGTTTAGAAATCTTTAAACCTTATGAAACGTGAGATATCATAAACCATGTTTTGTTTTGATATCCAGTCTCCTCTATCTTTTACCATATGTTTAGGGCCCTTCAATGTTATCTCAATCATCTACCACCCCTCCCTCCCAAGCCACACATATCTATGGCAGTAAGGTAAAGCAATTACATGACTAGTCAATGTCTCACCCCTTTCTGTGTCCAAGTCCCAGTAAGGGATCACGTAAGGGATGAGAAAGGGGGGAGGGGGAGAAGAGCACTAACATGGGACTACAAGTCTATTCTCCCAAAACATTTCACCACATTAAGAGTAGCTGGAGACTGTACACCCTTCAGAAACTGTTTATGCAGGTTCTTTATACAGCCTTTGAAACCTGATGGTTGATTCCCTATCGGATTTCTTGGGATTATGAAATAATTGAACTGAAAATGGGGTTCATGCCTGAAGCATCATATAACTTCTATAAAGAAAAAAGTTCCACCTACGCAGGATGAAATATTTCAATGGTAGGAAAGCCAGCGGCAAAGTTTGACCGACATCTCTGCCAAGTATTACAGGAATTAGTTGTGTTTATACTACAGTCACCATTCACATATCATGAAGTTCATAATTACTAATTTCATTCAAGTTATATCAAACTGTTCAATGAATTCTAAAAAATATAGTTTAACTTGAACAGTGATGGTTTGCTCTATTGGGGATCTTTCTTGACTTTCTACTCTTAGTATTTATTCTAGATAGAGAGAAACTTTTTCTTTTAAATTAGTAAATGTAATTTGATATGATGCCTATTTTCTAAAAATCTAAAAACTGCTTGAAAGTTGGCAATTGCTAATACACAAGTGCTCGGAATGAGGAATTCGCAGATGTCATCATTCTTCAATAAGTGAACCATTTGATAAGATATCATAGATATTTTAAGATGTTATATTGGAATGTGATTTATCATTTACCACATAAATAGCCTAGAATATGCAATAGCAGTTTCAAACAATAGGTTTTCATAGCTCTATTTCTCTTTCACCTTTTGAATCCCAGGCTCGGTTGAAACCAGAAAATTTTTCATTTTTGTCACCTTTTGACATTTGACAACATACACATACATGTTTAGACGCTCAATTAAGTGAAATTAGATAGCAGAGATCATTTCTACACATTTTAAAACAATTTTTGTGTAAATTTGATGAAAATTGTAATAAGAGCAATTTTAGTAGAAAAAATTGTGACAGATTTTCTCGTCACTCTGGGTTTCAAGGTCATTTCTGAGGTGACAAGAAATCTTGTCACTCCAGGTAGTCAAGAGGTTAACCATTCATATCACTTGGAAGAATTGAAAATTGAAGGGGATATTTCAAATAAACATGACTATACTATGTTGTACTTACAATCCACAAAATACGGAAGAATATCCATATTTACTGGAAATGAAAAAGGAACATTCCCTTATCCAGAATTATTACCCAACCTAAAAATCTAAATAGCATTTCCATAAAGTGAGAGTTAAAAGTGCTGGCATTTTAAGAGAATGAAAATGAAATAGAATGATATAAGCAAAGATATAATACGAAATAAATAAAATAACTTGACATTTTTTCAAACTCTTTAATATCGTTTGCTGTCTCTTTATCTTAGGATGCCAAAATATGCAATAATAAACATCTGTATATTTGTAGTAACTTGTTTACAGCCTCAATGCCAAGGTTGAATGACTTGTTCTTTGAAATTGAATTGATTGAACAGACTAGGTCAACATGACATGATAAAGGACAGGAGGCAAAGCAATAAGCTGATATGATTAGTTATAAATTATATTACACAGACAGGTTATAAATATATTAAATGTTTCATGTCAATGTATACCATATGTGAAAAATACCATATGTGAAAAATACCACATGTGAAAAATACCATATGTGAAAAATACCACATGTGAAAAATACCATATGTGAAAAATACCACATGTGAAAAATACCATATGTGAAAACTAGGCATATTCATTAACAGTGACAGTGTTTCCAATGCAAAGAACTAATGGTTGAAACAAGGCATTATAATATCAATATGTAACAACCTGGCTGCAATTACAAAAGTGTAACTCTATGTTACAGATATGGTTACAGAATACTGAGGCCATGTTATAGAATGGATATAAGCATTAGTCCTCATGATGATACATGTATTTCTCATTGGTCTAAAAATTGTTATGATAGACAGATGGATGGACAGAGGCTATAACAATACTAAAAAATTACCTCCCCTTGGTGGTATAATAAAAAATATTTTTTCTAAATGAATAATTGAAACTCAGTGATGTGACTTTAAAACCCAGACTTTGCGGTTTTACTATAAATCTGTACCACAAACAGGAGGTTGTGCTTTGACCCAAAATACACTCACAATTTAGCCATAATGAGCTTGTAGAACGATATAGTAGACTAACCTGATTTTATGCCAAAAACCACCTAGTTACTAAAATAAGGCAAATGCTACATCGCAGTAAAAATAGGTCATAACTGGATAATTGAAGGTTAGACATCTCTCCAAGTGATTTAACACTACATGTGTTTGAAAATAAACCATGTAGGTCAGGTTAACTATGGAGATAACATGATGCTTGGTATTTGTTGAATGCAATGTTAGGAAACTTGAAAAGGCAGGTTGTCACGGTAACCTTGACAATCAAACATTTCAAAACCAGATGCCTCCATAGAAGTTAAGCTGGTCTATTTTACTTAGGCTAGAGGATGTGTTAAATTGCTTTGCAGCATGATTACAATATAAACTGACATTGATAAACATTTTCTCATTTCTATTTCAATACTACCCTGCAGATGATACGATTGTGGGATGGTGGGCTTTTTGATATTCAGCTTTTATTTCCTTAAAACCTGTTTTAATTGAAAATATATCATGTATTAGCTATGTAAGAAGTGAGACCTGTAAGGTTAAAAGTGCTATTGCAGTTTAGTAAGTGTTGCTAAAGTTTGAGGAATGTGCGGCTCTCACTTTTGTATGCTAAACCCTGTGAATGTTGAAATTACTTATCAACACTATTTATTTATTCTGAAAACTTATATTTTAAACCTATAAAATAGACAAGTCTGAATATGTGTTTTTCTGTTTTTCTATACTATAAATAAGATGCAATACAGAACAGTGTCAAATGTTGTAAGCAATCATATACCTAAGTATATAGTCCTTTAAATTCTATATTTCATATAGAGAGGATAGAGAAAATGTCTACTTTTTCAAAATATTTGACAGATAACCTTATTAAAAATCAATTTTGCAAAGCTACAAGTCAAATATCAAAGACATACCTTGAACGTGACAAGGGATGCAGTAAAAAATTTATTTTTAAAACAACTGTTGTGTGGAAATGTAGAACAATTTTTTTAAATATTGAAGCCTCGATTTTCAAAAAGGCCTTATTCTCCGTTAATATCCACAAGTGGATATTGCCTTACAATAATTTGACATCTTATCATGACAAGTCAGTATAGTCAGACAGACGTAGACATTTTAGAGGTCATTATTTATTAGCATTAATATCTTCAACCATGTATTCTCTTACATGCTATAGCAGAACCAAGTATGAGGTCTAAAATCCTTGGAAATTCAGATCAAAAACATATTCATGATTTTCAACATCAGTATTGTACAATCAATCATCGAACCTCTTTATAACAGTCAGGTTTGGCCATGTATACACGATAAGAAAGGGGTGAGTGAGAACTTTGGATAATGTAGGCCTATTGAAAGGGAGATGTGATAATAAATGTGGTTAGTAACAGGATATGTTGGCCTTGTATGACCCCTAAGTATCTCCATGTCAGTGTACTCTCTATAATCCAAACAACCATCTACCACCCTCTGCAAGACTTTGATAGGCTATGACTAATCAGGATTTCTTTAAAATCAGAGAGCCCTTCCCCTTTGGTAGACACCCCATATTTTTAAAAAATTGGACCCAAATTTTTAGATTTCCGGCCAAGAATTTTTACCCTTATATTTGACCCCTTTTTGATTTCCAGATCCAGCCCTGAAGCCTGTGTCCAAAGATACTTCAATTTCTTCCAATAAGTAGTTTACACTGATACTACATGAAAACTCTTATAATAGCCTATGAAAGCTGCCTTTTAGAGCTTTAGTTCTTATCATCATATCTTTAAAATAATCTGTTTTAGTCAGAGTCTAGAACACAAGCTGTGGAATCCAGGGTAATCACTCACACTATATAGTGGGCTGTTATACATCACTTTCTAACTGTTAATTCAGTACTTTTACAAAGACCGTTTAAGGTCAATGTTATTTCTCTGAGAAATTATTATAATTTTGTTGTAAAAGGAAGATTTCTTCTATCTTTAAATATAACTTGTATATATGTTTTGCAACCACTAACCTGGGGCAATGTTAAGTATCTCACCATTTTTAAATGACAGCAGTTTTTATCAGAATGTACAGATTACCTTTCATATAGCATTTGATACTCCAAATGGCTATACAGGCTTAAATTTTTTCAAACCTAATGAGATCTTGGCACTAGTCTGCTATTGCATCTGTAAAAATTTTAAAAACAGGCAAGCTGTTTTCCTGGAATTTTGATGACAAGATTTATATGCCATCCCGTCTGCCCACCCAACAAGACAGATACACGATCATCATAAGAAGACAATAGTATGGCAGTTTGAAAAAAATGTGATCAAAATAAACTCTTACAATACCTTTTATGCTATGCTGCTAATATGCGGGATATGGAAAATATCCTAAATGGGATATGATAAAGACACCTCCTATCCAAACTGCATGTTGTCTGTTTGTAGTATTAAGCTCTGCAAAGACACAGAAAACAATGGTTTAAATATTTACATATTAATTATCTTTATACAAAACAAGTATTTATAAAGAAAATGCAATTACATAAGTGTAACAATTGTTATATTGAATACAGGTCAGAAGACACTGAATACAAGTCAAAACAAAAATAGTAGCAGTAACAATATGTCACCACTTTCTGGAAATGACAATAACATTGAAATTCAAAAAATATATTTCTCAATACTCAAGTTAATCTAACTTCATTTGAAAACAAATTCCTTGTTTATTTTGAGTAACATCTGTATGTTATGTTTAATCTTAAGGTAGGCAATATATGACAATTTGAATTCAAGTCCATCTTCAAAATCTCTGTCAATAAAGCCAGACTATTCATACTAGGGCCACCTAAATTGAATTGCCAAATGTACATGTGAAACAAGATAACAAACTTGTAAGTGAACTAGAAAACGGTCAGGAGCACCTCATGGTATGATCTGTCATGGATACTAACCGTGGAAATGAGTGCACTGAAGTAAAGGCACAGTATGATAGCATGTAGTGTACATGTTACCTAATTGTAGTGTACATGTTACTTAATTGTATTGTACATGTTACCTAATTGTAGTGTACATGTTACTTAATTGTATTGTACATGTTACCTAATTGTATTGTACATGTTAACTAATTGTAGTGTACATGTTACTTAATTGTATTGTACATGTTACCTAATTGTATTGTACATGTTAACTAATTATAATAAAGTGTTCACAATTTATCGGATTTAGGTGGTCAACCTTAACATTTAGTACATATTTTAGTTTGAGCCACAGATATAAGACACTTTTTTGCGTAAAAATCAAGGTGATTGGGGTTAGAGGGTCAAAGTTATGATTGTTGGAATTTGATGCCAATAAAAAATCTGTATATATTTGTAAACTGCAATGTCTAGTCGTGATCGGCCTTTTTGTATTATCATTATGATATTAGTTTAGAACATCACAATGATATAAACTTTTAACATCATGCTATGATATAAACTTGTAACACCACAATAACATAAGCTTAAAATATCATAAAAGCATAAGCTTAGAACATCACAATGATATAAACTTAGAATATCACAATGACTAGCTTAGAATATCACATCACAATGATACCAAGCTTAAAACATCACAATAACAGCACTGCAAGTTTTGAACATCACTATATACAATTATGCTTGAAACATCACAATGGTATTAGTGCAAGTCTTGAACATCATAATGACATAAGCTTGCAACATCACAATGATAAAACTGGAAGTTTTGAACATTACAATAACAAATGCTTGGAACATCACAATGATATAGGTGCACGTTTTGAACATCACAATAATATAAGCTTGGAACATCACAATGACATAAGCTTGGAACATCACAACTTGACATAAGCTTAGAACATCACAATGACAAATATATTAGAAACCAGGATATTTAGTACCTAACTACACTCTGCCTAGTAAAGACTATATTTCAGTTTAGCAGCCCCGCACTGAAGATTGGTGCAGCCCGGATAATAAATAATTTCAAATCTACCACGCTGATCCTTTATCCTTTCTGATCCTTTCAGTAAAGTGGAAGGAACACGCGCAAAATACGTGCTCATTAACTATGCGGGGATGTCAGAGAAAATGACCATATAGAAAGTCTTCCATATTTCGACGACGAATTCTGATTGGCTCGGTGAGATCAGAGATTTATTGTAAAATGAAATAGTGAAGACGAAGCTCTCTTTTAAGAAGTGAAGTCGAATGAATGCAAAGGGTAAATATTTAGAAATCCTACATTAAGAACTCCCACATGATTTTCCCCCCATTGAGAAAATAATCCAGGGGAAGCACTGAGTCTGGTAAAATTATATGAAATATGATCATTTTCTACAGCACCTTTTCTACCAGCCACTTAGTTACATCCTAATACACAATAATTACAGGTGATGTTTAACGATCACCATTGCTTTAAACATACAGTATACAGCAAGCCTTAAGTGTCATTGATTTAGATAATTTACAAGAGCTAAGAATAACTTACTGACATGTCACAATAACCTTTATAGAGTGGCATAATCTCAAAGTATTACTTCCTCGTATGTATGTCATATTAAGTATTACACTTACCTATCGATCGCAATTTTACGTTAACGTCTTCAATGGATGTTATCAGAGATTAGGATCGATTAAAGTTCAAATTCTTGGGTTTTTCCGTTTTAGTTTTTTTTACAATTACCAGATAGTGTCTCCCTGGCAAAATGTGTTTATAATCCTATATAAAGGTGCAGCATACTACAGTGTATAATATATATCTATTATACTATATTCACTTCAAATAGGTAGCCTGAATATCCTATAGCTTCATTATATATAGCTACCTTAATATAGTGATGACTTCAAGCTTTTTAGAGTTCATGGTTTAACTTACATCTTTTTCATATATTATTCATACTGTACAGATATCCATATGTATATATAATCCGTCGAGTAACAAATGTGATCCAATGTTTTAAGTCAGCATGTATAGTAGTACGTCTTTTGCAATAGCCTAAAATAAACTGCGAACTCAGCCGCTACTTTGCCCTTATCAGTGAAACAGACCAAGTAAAACTAGTCATTTAAGGTCAAGTCGAACATTGAATTCTGACATGTTTAATATGACTACACAATCAAACATCACTCAGATAAACAGAGTGTCTTAATCAACTATCAGAACCTGGTCAATCAATAACGCAGACCTAAAAGAAATTCTATAGACACATTTACTATTCATTTTTAATTCTGTTTGACTACATATCTTTGATATCGATTTATCACTATTTATGACGACTTTGCAAATATCGATAGGTTTGATAGCGGGTGACCTTACAAAGTTCAGAGGCAGTCAGTGACTGAGCCCTGTAGCGATGCCTAGATGCCACCTACAGCTAACAATTCACAATACAGCTTATAATACACAATACAACTTACAATACACAATACAGCTTACAATACACAATACAGCTTAGAATTCATGATACAGCTTACAATTTACAATACAGCTTACAATTCATAGTGTGCTCAAAAGCACTGCTCTCTGTCTAGAACTACAGTAAAACCTGTGTATATTGAACATTTTTTGCTGAGAACATTTTTTGCTGTGAAAAAATGTTCAGTGTTGGTAGGTATTCACAACAGAGAGGCCAATTTATTTAGAAGTCAGTAGAGTTAGCCTGCTCTCTAGGCCTTCTTTTTCACCTGACTTTCAACTTCTTTTGTGCTTAATCATATCACAAATAAAAAAGTAAGCAATAAACCTAAGGCAAGTCTACTAACCTCAAACCTTCTTTATTGTCTATTAAAACAACACATAAGCATAGCCCATTTTCTCTAAACATATATGATATCTTATGATTTCTGAGTGATATGATTTTTATTCTGGATTTATCTGCATGAGTGAGTGTAGCATATTCCTTGGTTAAGTGAATTTTTTTCGAAAACATGATTCTGCTCCACTATTTATAAATATGTACCATTTTTATTTTGACATGATATCCCATGAATATCACAGAAACTCTATAAAAACAAAAAAAATATGATCGATTTCAAAACTGGATCGGCCCTTTGGCATACACCATATCAACTTGTTAACCTTGCTTATTGTATGTATGTCATCATTTCTCAAAGGCTGACAGCCAACAACAATAAAATATAACATGGCACAGTAAGTATAAATAAATCATATGATACCCTGTTATATACAATAACATACCCTATTTGCACAGTCTAGTTATGAACTACCCTCTGATTAGTATAAACTACAGTTGAGCAATCCTGCCCTTACAATCAGTGCTTGTGACTACTGCACAGACCTTTTCTCAACCAATCAGTGAGCTGGAAGAGACACGCGCTAAATGCATGCTCAATAACTGTGCGATGATGTCGGAGGAAATGTATTTCCAGGTCGAAGTCTGATTGGCTTTTTGAGTTCAGAAATTTATTGTAAACTGAAAGAGTGAAGACAAAGCTCTCAAATTTTAAGAACTGAAGTCGAATGAATAGGTTTATTTTTTGGGGCAATTTAAGATCAAAAATATGAAAAGTAGTCCTTTAAGGAAGAATCAGTAACAGAGAATCAAGGCACACGGTGAACAATATCGGACCAAAAACATAGCAGTGTGGGCTTGATGACCCAAAAAGCAATATGGCTGCCGAAAAAATGATCAGTTCAAGAACTTCTTACCATGTAACATGTGTAAAAATTTGAAGTAAATCCATTCAGTGGTTTTCCTGGAATCGCGATGACTAAATTAATGCAAGATGGCTGTCCAAACATTAAAGAGGTCTAGAACTTCTTACCATGTACAATGTGTGAAAATTTGAAATAAATCCGTAAAGTGGTTTTCCTGGAATCACGATGATAAGATTTATCTAAAAACTTCCAAGATGGCCACCAGAATGCAAGATGGCCTCCAAAAAGTTAATCAGCTCGAGTACTTCTCACCATGTAACATATATGAAAATTTGCAGTAAATCGGTCAAGTGTTTTTTCTGGAATCGTGATAACAAGAAAGTGAGACACGATTTATTCAAGATGGCCACCAGAATGCAAGATGGCCACCGAAAAGAAAATCAACCCTAGAACTTCTCACCATGTAACATATATGAAAATTTGAAGTAAATCGGTCAAGTGGTTTTTCTGGAATCGTGATAACAAGAAAGTGAGACATGATTTATCTAAAAACTTCCAAGATGGCCACCACAATGCAAGATGGCCACCGAAAAGAAAATCAACCCTAGAACTTCTCACCATGTAACATGTCTGAAAATTTAAAGTTATCCGTCAAGTAGTTTTCCTGGAATCATGATGACAAGAAAGTGAGACACTTCCTGCCTGGCTGCCGCCTGTCAAGCTGACGACAATATCGTACCTTTTTAGGTATGATTAAAATCAATTTCATGATCTTTAAGGCTCATTGCATTCTCAGAAAATCCCAAAATGCATACTTTAACCCAGAGAAATCATAACCACATCCTGAATATCTCTACAATTTAGATTTTAAAAGATAGAAACATTCAAGAATGTTTTGTGAAAGGATAGCTTCCAACATCTCATACTCTCTCTCTACTCTTTACTTCCACCTTAAGACACACTTTTTACACTTGTCATAATACAAGTGAACTCAGGTTACTAAGAATCCATTGTCAATTCCTGAAATGCGTAATTGATGTCCTAAAATGAACCTTACCTGTCATATACCTAATTCTAAGCATGACACACAGGAAACAGCAACTCCATAGAGTAGCTGATCTCAAAACAAGGCATTAACATGCAATTAAATGTCACCACCTGCCATTTGTTACAGATACTGGATGCCTGATGCTGAATGTCAAACACCGTCAACAAACAAAAAGTTGACAAAAGTGACATTATGATTTATAAAAATGATATCATTTCAGATAAATGTGGTATTCAGATAATAGTGGTATTCAGATAATAGTGGTATTCAGATAATAGTGGTATTCAGATAATAGTGGTATTCAGATAATAGTGGTTTTCACATAATAGTGGTATTCAGATAATGGATGCTGACAAATTTGTGACTAACATTAGGTAGGGTGCAGAAGAGTTTAGTTCAACTATTATGAACATTAGCGAATCTCCTCTTATGTATCACTTGGATGGGAAAATTAACAGACTGGTATAGAGACTGACAGACAGAGGGCTTCACCATATTCTACCAATCTTGGCTCATTGGGTAATTCATCTTCATGTACTTTTGCTGAATACAGGTTTAAATTGGATGAATGTATAGGTGAATAACTCATAACAACAGAATATAAAAATATCCAGAAATAACAAATTCTTAGAAATAACAAATTCTAAGAAATCTGGTCTATCACGAGGGCACCATCATGATAAACAATAATTATCTTTTTTTCTCAGCTGTGAGATGCATGTTGTGGGTTGAACAAAAAAACATGGTATTGACACTGCAAAATATCACCAGCTGGTTACAATGATAAAAGTGTAACAATTGTTACAGATATTAATGCTCTTCATGAAAATGGAAGCTGTAACAATATGTCACCACTTCTTGATAATGGAATGAAAATCAAAATCTGAATATGTAACATAATCAACTGATTATCAAAATGATATGAAATACATAATTAATTCAAAATAAAGTGTTGATCAACGAATAGTGTTTCATCTTTGTTGATTTGAAAATATCTACAATTATTCGTGACAACGAAATGTACCAACAAAAGCAATATGTGTTTACTGTTCAATAATTGCTTGCTAAAAAGTTAATGTCATTCTATCGTATGCAAGCAAACATGAACTATTTTTATCATTTCAATGTATGTATATCTTCAGATCAATAACCAGGAATAGAACAAAGAGAAGCTATTATAAGTTTTGTTTCGAGGCTTAAGCGATCATAAAAGTCACTTTCCATGGTTATTATAAAACGGTTATAGCTCCTATTCTTCAGAACAAGTTGACATATCAGTGTCATATCATCAGGTGTTTCACTAGAATTTCTCACAACAGGCTAAATAAATGAAAATAACAGGCAAAATTAATGGAAATCATAAACTTAACGTGAAAAAGTCCATAAAAACAACAAGTGATTTTGTGAAAACAACTGGTGAAAATCACCCGTTGCCTGCTGCTAATGAAACCCCTGTATCATACAAAGGAATAAACCCCTTACTCCTATCTGTTTATTTCATTAAATTATAAAACATCTTCAACTCATCAAATTTTCTGGGTACTGAATCTGTCACACGATTGGATTTAGGATTTGGGCTAATTTGACATAGCAATTTCACAACTTTATTTTGTCAGTGTTCCATCAGAAAAAGAAAGAATAAGAGAAATATACGAGATGTAAAGATGTTCAGATTGCTGAATAAGTGATATATCTATCTTCACTCATTCATGTTACACTCTCACTTATAGTATTATATTCAATCATAGTGTGAGGTTTAATATAATACAAATAAAATGTTGAATATATATATTTGTATCTCTATAGTTATGTTAAAAATAGATAAACAGTTAAATGCCTACATACATTCATATCA